CACTTTCACGCAGTTAGGATACGGGACTTTCTTAGGGATTTAGGCATGGACCTGGAAAAGATACCTGAGTTCAGGTTCAAAATGTTGGATTCTTGTCCTGTCCGCAACTGGTCGGAAGGACTCGTAGAAATTTTCCAGACGGTTTGGGGTGCACCACGGTGCATGTCCGCGGTAGCGCAAGGGGGGTGCTGAGCATGTTGATGCGATCTTCATTTTGTCCCATCTGTGGTGGACCCAATGTGCAATGAAGAGCACGATAGAACATCGCCTTGCACCGTGCGGTCAGTACGAGCCTAGAGCGGAGTCTTGGATCACGAACAGGACGACAACCTCCGCCGGAACCTACGAGCCAGCCGCAAGTCAAGGCCATCACCTGGATGTAGGGCTTTCCGGTTGTGTGGTTTACGGTTTGGCATTGCAAGGTTTGCAGTGTCGTAGGGCACAGGGCTATGATTGCAGAGTCTAGGTTCTTGGCTGTATGATTGAAAGTTAGGTTGAGATGGGTGGAAGAAAGGTTTATGAAATCGATGGCGATTGCTGGGCTCGTTTTCTCTACTGAAGGGGTCGGGGCGCGATTTGGGAACCATAGACACATTGACCCAGACCCTAGAAATCCCACTAGTAGCAAGATTATTTGCGAAGGTGATCACTAAGATCTCCACATGCAACCCCACCATCTCGAGACTTGCAGCCTGAAGAGAGGCAGGAGTTTTGTAACTTCGTAGGAATGTTTGTAGTGCTTTGTAGTGGCACTCTCAAGCGTTTGAGCCGGAGCAAGACTCATCATAGCAGAAACACAAGACTGTTAGGCGCAGCGATATTGTGGCGACTATGTCAACAAGCATGAATGGCTAACACCCTTATCAGGAGTATCGGGCAAAACGTAAGACGCTAGAGCTGCTAGACTTTGGACTGCTCAGAGTTGTACTTTGGTTTCTGATTCAGGGCCGGAAGCTTTGGGCGATTCGGGGCGCTGTTTTGAAAGCGCTCCGGGCTGAATTCAGGTCTTCAGCAGGCAAGGCTTTGGATCGCACCCTCCCGGGAGCAACGAAATGCCGGACGTACCCAGACAGCAGCAGCAGGAGTAGAAGTAGTAGTCGTCGTCGTGGTTGTGGTGGTGGTAGTGGTGCCGGTACTGGTGGTGATAGTGGTAATGGCAGTCCTTTGCTGGTAATTAATGGTTCCCGCGTGCTGTAGAGGCATTGTTTACAAGCCAACCCTGCTGTGCATGACCAGCCACTGCGGTTGCTGCCTCGTAAACGACACACCCCTGCGTCATGAGCAACAGCCGTTTGTCATGCTAGACTGCCGTGGGGACTTGATCCCAAGCTCCAGCAGACACTGGAAGTTGCTGCCATGCAAAGAAGCCCCCCCCTGTAGCCTAAGATAGGAGTAGCGGTATTCATCGCCTTTTGGCACCTCCGCTTGAACGTCCCATGCTCAAACGTGCTACACAGCGTTCCTTTTTCCTCCTGAAGCCTCAACCCCGAAAAACTCCCTCAGGGCTGATGCCTAAGCCTTAAGCTGCAGTTGCCCCAATCGGCAATTCTACAAACATCCCAGCTGCAGCTGTCGGGAGGTCCGGAAGAGGTCCTAGCAGCGCCCCGGCAAGAGCCTTGGGGGTTTTTGCCGGGGAACCCCGAAGGCAGCCTTTGGATTTCAGGGGCCCTGAGGCCCTGATTAATCAAGCAGGATCAATAAGGAACCTGCAACGAGGAGCCCAAGCTCAAAAGGTTTTTTGAGTACAAGCGCCGCTACTAGATGCAGTGGACCCAGGCAAGCTGGCTGAGCTTGTCGTTGAGAGAGCCGCCCTGGGATGAAACTCAGCCCTCCTATGGTGACTTGCGGGCAGCCTCGGGCAAGGCACAGTTCCTGCATGAACCTACCTTTGGTTAGTAGGGAATGGAAGAATGGTAGTAATGGTACTTATAATAGTTCCCATTCCTCCATTCCCTACTAGCCAAAGGTAAGTGAAGAGCTGGAACAGCGCAACGTCGACTCACAAGCTGTGCAGGCAGGGGCAGACCGGAGCCATCCAGAGCTTTGATCATGACATGGTCACGTGAGAAGCTGCTTGATCGATCAGAGCAGTGTAGCAATAAGTGTAGCAGAGCAACAGTAATTAATACATATAGCATAAAGAACAGAAGAGCAGGAAGCTGTAATCAAGAACCATACTGAACCTGCACATGCACTTGCCCACCTGCCAGGCGGCAAGCCCTTGATCCGCTCAGAGCGAACTTCGAGAGTTCGCTGTTGGATGCCTTAGGTAGAGTTGGGTCGGCAGGCTCAGTAAATGGCTGCTGTTGAATGCTCGGCTTCTCTTGCTACGACAGTGATCGCTCTTAGCTAGATGAGCAAGCCTAATGTCACAACTCGTCTCACACTCAGTTCTGTAAGTGTTATTCGGCACTGCCACTGTTGCGCTGAGCATGCCGCCTGGTCGCTCTGCCGCATTTTCCATGGTCGGCTGAAGGCCCTGAGGGTTCCGGAGCTTGTGGAGCCTGGACCATTAGAGCCGTCGCTGACAGCAGCAATCATGCTAAGAGGAACTCACAGTTAGTATTGATGGTTTGAGCAGCATGAGCAACCACATCAACTGACATTCAATACTGCTGAGCGGGGAACTTGTAGCGAGAATACTGAGGTATGCAACCGAGTAGTACAGCCTAACTAAAGAAGTCATGATCTGGTGTGATGACAGTCATTGCTGCGCAGTGACTGCGCGGTGCTGGACGGAGGATTGGAGCCCCGCGGGCTACTCATCGGATCTGCATCAGAAAGCCATGGCCAGGTGCTGATACGAGGAGATCCTCAAACCCGAAGCCGCAGATCGCAAGAGCGCACAGCAGAGCCACCATGAAGCGGCTTCTTTCACAGTTGCCGCAGGTTGTCAGCACGAAGATCCAGGATAAGCCTGGGGTCGGCGACTGAGACACGATGATGTCTATAGGTACCAAACCGACTTAAATTGATTCGGATCTTGCGGAAGAGATCTGACCACAGCGGTCCGTCCCTGCTTAAACTATAGCCCCTTGCACTTGTCAGTGCTTACATCCGGGTACAACCAGGGTTGAACTGCCCTAGACCATCGACTCTGGTTGAAACAAGCTGATTCGCAAGATAATTGAATAGACTGGAAATCCCAATTGCTGCCACTTGTTTCACCTTGTTTGCCGCCATCAGAATCTGGCCTATTGCCCTAGGCCCTAGAAGGAATGAAGTACTTCCGCAAGGAACTTGCAGGTGTTCGGATTTGCAGGGTGGGTCGGGGCTGAAGGCTTACAGTGCTCAACAGAGATAACTGTCTCTGAAAAGTTAGGTGATGTTCAGAGGGGTGTCCTTGTTTCCAGCCGCCTCATTCGAAGAGACACTTGCAAGAATCCTCGAGGTCATATCACATATACACACACACAGACACACACGTACATAGAGATAGCGAGAGAGAGAGAGAGAGAGAGATAGCGAGAGAGAGAGAGAGAGAGAGAGACGGACGGACAGACAGACGGACAGACAGACAGACAGTCAGAGGCTTTCTCGCTCTATCACGAAGCGAGGGCCTGCGCTGAACCTTCAGCCCTAAGCCCTCGGGAATGTTCCAGCCCAAGCCCGCGATGACTGAGAGCTTAGAGGCTTAGAGCAGTGCGGACGAAATGGGGTCCCATGTCCCCCCCTACACGAAAAAACGAGGGACTGTAATTTTGACCTTCAGTACTCGTGGTACTCGTAGGATCTTTAGTATAATAAAGACCTCCCAAACAAGACCCCTAAACCCTAAACCCTACACTGCTTTTCAGCAAGACCCAGGTCTTCTACCAGATGACGCACACGGATCGCGTGCGGAAGCTGGACCGGCAGAGTGAAAAGGCAGCCCAGGCCCGACTTGAAAGCCACCCGCATGCTACGGTTTGGGCATTAGGGCTGAGGGTTTCGGGCATTAGGGTTTAGGTTTCGGGCCTAGGGTTGAGGGTTGAGGGCATGAGGGTTTAGGGGATGACCGTATCAAGAGCAGTGACACAGTAAAAGTGCGAGGTTTGTCACATGCCTGGACAATGTATCAAGATCTTTGCAGCATGTCTAGTGCAAAGGCACTTGCCGCTGTCCCCACCTATCAACCTTCATCGTACTTGTTGCGGCGCCTGAGGCGTCCCTTGACGAAGCGCTGGTTGCTTGACTGGGTTTCTAGAAGACCCCGCCTGCAGGAGAGGATGAACAGCAATGACCTACTTTTAAAAGCAAGCAGCTTCAGTCAAGCACAATGGATACGCAGCCTGCCAACCGCATATCCAAAAGTACCGGCCCCCTTCTCCACCCCCATGACGCCTAATGCTCCCCGGTAGCAGACAGGCTCGCTTCACCTACGACTTCTCGCCCATGAGCGTAGTCGTGAAGGACACAGCCTTGCTCTCAAGGCCTCGAGGTCGGAAGAGGCTGACTCTCATCCGTGGCATCGGGGCCACAAGTTAGAGCAGGTCTTTTGAGAAATATGAAAATTAAACAACCTTATGCTTCAAGAGTGTAGTGTATGGGGACTCCAACAGGAAATGGGATGCTAGTGTAAATTAATTAGTCCGATCTCTTTTTTCGCCGATGTCTGGGCTCGTTATGCGAAGTGTTGCGGTTGTATAGATGGAAAATGGCCCAGTTTGACATGATGTTGTCAGCCCTCAGCCCCCAACCCTAAACCCCCACATGTAAAGCTGGCCTTCTGCACCATCGACCCAGCAGCGTAGTGATAAGCTTGCCTCGGATCCAAAAGCTTCACACGCGGACATCATGCCCGAGCCCCTCAAAGACGGCACATTCGCCAACCAGCAACCCCGTACATTAAACTCTCTGACCCCACCCAGATCCTGGAACCCTCAACCTCGAAACCCTGAAACCTAACTGAAACCCCTTGAACCCTCAAGCCCTGCAGCCAAAAGGCCATGAAGGCCTAACACGTGCCTAACCCTAATCCCTCAAGCCTAAACCCATCACAATTCCAGAGCTCTCGAGCCATGAACGGCACGGAGACCTTTCTTCCAGCCTGGCGGCCGCAGCAGAAGCGTCGCCTGCAGAAGCCTCGGTGTCTCTTTTTGTTTTGTCAGACCTTTTGGGTTTAGGGTTCGAGTAATTGCATCAACAGGATGAAAGTTTCGTTGTAATTGAATATCGTTTGTTGGTGGAGGACGCGGCTTACAAGGTAGTGCATTTTGTTTGGCCTGGCCAGCGGAGGAATCGACAATACCCTGCCGATTGGCAAAGATAGTCTTGGAGCGCTGGCACTCATCCGAACCCATAACCCCAACTCCCCATATACCTAAACGGTCCCTAAACACCAAAGCCCCGCAAACCCTATAAACCCTATACTGCGGTACGACGAAAGTTCGTCGCATCCGTAAGTGTTATGTATGTATACTTAAACCACCCCCTTCCCCCCTAGACTCCTCCAAGAATAGCATATCATATGTTCACAACAGCGTGTTCTGCTGCCAGGTCCTTCGTTCTTTGTACTTGTTTAACATAGCAACTTCCGTCCCGGCAGGGTTTTGAAGCTTTTGGTACGCATCCTCCGTACCGAGTGTGGAGGAGTGGTTCGGCAAAGTTGTTTGTGTGCGTGTGTGTGTGTGTGTGTGCGTGCGTGCGTGCGTGCTGACCCAGGTCCCTACGCAATCGGGCAGCTGCAGAGGTCGCGAGGACCTACCTCAGGGCATGCTGGGCTTTGTGAAGTTGCGGTGTGTAAGGCATGTTCGCATCACGAAGGAAGTCTTTCGTCCCACTCAACTCTGAACTGTTCTGAACTGATTCCCTTGAGGACTACGCCCGTAACTCCCACCAAAGAGATCAAGGGCCCTCGCACCACCGCTTTAATTTGGGGTGTGATTAAGTAACGCCAGCAAAAATGACTGCTCCTGCTCCTGCTCCTGCTCCTGCTCCTGCTCCTGCTCCTGCTCCTCCTGCTCCTGCTGCTGCTGCTGCTGCTGCTGCGACGAAGACGACGAACACGACGGCTTGGACGAATGCGACGACGACGACTGCGACGACGACGACTGCGACGACGACGACGACGACGACGACTACTACTACTACTACTACTACGACTGCGACTGCCACTACGACTACGACTACGACTACGACGACGACTACTACTACTACGACGACGACGACTACTACTACTCCTACTACGACGACTACGACGACGACGACGACGACCACTACGAGCAGCCAAAGCCACTACCACTACAACAACCACCACCACCACCACCGCCACCACCACCGCCACCACCACCGCCACCACCACCACCACCACCACCACCACTACCCTGCTGTTGCAGCTCATCCGGCAGTTGCCACATTCCGAGCTACGTCGGTTGAGGAGCCGCCCCGCGGTTGACCTCGAGGTTCGAGTGCTGAGAACTTTGCTGGGAAGTCCGGGACAAAGGTTCGAGGCTTCCAAGGAGCAGGGGGATGTGGCAAATGCTTCAAGGGGTGCACGAGCTTGCCCGTTCAGGTGGCAGTTTCTAGAAAAGCCTTCTCAGGAGCTTCCTGTTCTGAAGCTGCGCATGTTTCCATCGAAAAACTTTCGAGAGTGACTGAGCGCCTGTGCCAGCGCAGTTGCGGGGGCTTACAAGCTCAGCAGCAACTTTCCAAGTCATGCTACATCTTTGTTCTTTCAGAACCATCAGCTAGACTTTCGCGTTCACTTCCCATGCTCAGTCAGTTCATCTGCTCGGGGAGTGTATCCGTTCGTAAAGCGGGAATGTCCCAGAATCCTGTCCAATCTGCCAGGTGTGTGGTTCACAGAACCTGCACATGTCGCGGCCTGGCCGGTGCTCATCTCAGCACCGCAGATATTGCTGGAATGTAGGAAGGCCACATGTGTAGAATGCAAAGCCTGCGCAGTACGTGTCAGGTGAGAGGGAGTGGAGAAGATATGGATCACAGCCGATTTCCTGCACGAGCCAGCAGACCTTTTTTGATTGAAAACAGTTTTGGTTTTTTTTATTACAAAACAGATCCACTTTGTTTCATTTCCCGTCACTTCCATGATGGCTAACACTTCCCTTGTCATCATCCGCATCATCGCCGGTAGCCGTATCCGAAGAGAATCCGCTGAGGGTTCTGGCTAATATACAGCTTTCGCGATTAATTATCATGAAGACGACCTTTGCTGGCATGGCTTGTTTCGCTCTTGATGCCGGCAACCTGCAAACTGCTGGCCGTGAGGGACAGACTCCACAAATATTAGAACCGAGTCTCATTTGCTTTCTTCGCGCCTTTCGTGCACCGTGGTGCGCTTTTCATCAACATGCATGATGCAGGCAAGTTAGATAAGCACATATTTACATGCATTGTTGCGGGTACTGCTTTGGCGACGGCTATGCTCCCAGAGCTTGGACAGAATTAGGAGGTTCTTCCTACCATACAGCTGTAAATTAGACTCGAACTCCTACGTGAACCCATGCCTTGGATACGAAAGCGCTAACAACCCGACAACCCTCAACTATCCCGAAGCCCTGAAGCTCCAAGCCATCCACCATATTCCACCCTTCGTGCCCCGCGACATCCGAACTGTAGGCTGTGTCCGAAAGCTCCGGGCGTGTCCTTCATTCGGGCATCGCCTCGGAGGCACCGGAACCGTGTCATAATCGAACCCGTTGCAAAAAGACGACCATCGTGTCAGCGGTGTGTTATCACTACTAGCTTCTTGTGCTGTGCAGTAGTTAGTAGTCCTTCTCGTCATCTTGTGCGGCTGTAGCGAGGACGACTATTTTTGCTACGGCTGCTGTTTCTGCTGATACAGTGTTACAACGTGCCCTGCTTTTCTATTTCTCCCGTTGCTGCTGCTACAACTCTGCTGGTACAGTCACTGCTCCGAACTGCCGCTTCTCCGACTCGACCCTTGAACTCCTAACACGCTACAACTACTACCACTCCCACCACTACCACTACCACCACCATCACCACCACCACTACCACTACCGCCACCACCACCACCGCCACCACCGCCACCACCACCACCACAACAACAACAACAACAACTACTACTACTACCACTACTACTACTACTGATAAAAATCATATAGAAGCAAAAGTAAGAAGAATAATTTTCATAATTGTAGTGACGTTCTGCTACCACTGTTCCTGGGACAAGAATGATACTCTTAGTAGCTAAAGCCAGGCTGGCGGTGGGGCTCAGGTCTGGGAAAGTGTAGGCCCTGGCAGACTGCGCAGAGCGCTCTGAAGCAGGTCGAGTTGCGAACTCCATTGGCTGCCGCCCGAAACTCCAGCACTGCAAGGAGGCCAGGGACGCCCCAAAATGGGCCTAGAGTCTCGCACTATCCGAAAAAAAAGCATAGGGTTTGAAAATCTACTCTTTTCTTTGGCCCTGGCGGATTTCAGGTCTTCAGGCTTCCTCGAGCTTTCGCATCGGCACTAGACTAGACTAGACTGAATCTAAGCCTTGAGGCATCCGTAACCTTGGAATGCCAAGTCGTCCTGCAACTCGCAAGTGTGGATCCCGAAAGCATGCGGCAAGTATGTGGGGGGCTGTGGGGGCTTGTGGGCAGTCCAATAAATCCTAGTCATACCACACCTGCAGTCCAACTGCAAGCAACTACGCGACGCCAGATGCAACACAGTCTATTTATGCGTTGACAGATACGTGGGCGTGTAGCGGCATGTATGTATACACTCGCTGTGACCAGTTGTTATTCGGTCCCGTGCAGCTGTTCGTATGCACGTACATAGATTGACAGCTGGTCAGGTCTTTGTCTACGTCTATATAGAGAGCTGTTCGACGTTACAGCCGTTGCATTCTGCTATTCTTTATTCTAGCAGATTCTAGCATGTGTTCGAGCAGAAGGTATTCCATAGTTGTACAATTTCAAAACTACTAACGATCGCGTGCAAGTACGACATGCCAACGATTGCCAGCCATGGTGAACTGCTCTAGATCATGTGTGAGGAATTTTGGCTTCGCCAGGATGTCTGTCAAACATAACTTTTCTAAGCCCCTTAAACCCACGACCTCGATTCTCAATCTCGAGCCCCACGCACCATTAACCCCAAGCCCTAAGCCCCTTTAGCCCCTAAACCCTCAACACCATAAACCCTCATAGGGGAGCCCGAAAGGGGGATCTCTCTTCGCTCACCCGTGAACCCGATGCAGGGAGCCCTTGCTCGGACTGCTCGGTGCCTGGGCCGAAGAAAAGCAGATTTGGGGACTTCGGGGTTTCAGATCTTTCGGGTTCCTCTCTCGTGCGTTGAAAAGGTGGGGGTGACGGGGTGGATAGGGGGGGGGGGGGNNCCGCCTTTCGCCGGGGATGCATTCATGTCAAACTTTAGCCGTTTTGTGGGTGTTAGGGTTTAGGGTTTAAGAGGGTGCAGGGGGTCGAAGGCTGGGGATCTCAGGGTAATTACGGGGGGGTTTTGGGGATTTGGGTGGCCGCAACTGTACAAGGCTTTGTAAGAAGGTACCGGAGCTTCTTCCGGTCGTCCGGATGTCGAAGTGGACAGTGCGTGGAGATCGATGCAACTAACCTTCGTGGTTCTCTCCAGCTTTGGGATTTTTCTGCGTGGATTCACAAGGTTCCACAAGTGCCACAAGTTGTTTTCATAGATTTTTACTCGCTGTGTCTGCCCTCCTGGCGTGCTGTTGGCATAATGCATCACAAGCTTGTGACGCTCCTCCCGATATGGACCGTCTGTTTTTCTTGGCACCGCGCGGCACGTCATGATGTGCTCTCAATCGGGCCAGGATAAGCCCCCCAAAGCCGAGCCTGTGCTCGGAGAGGTACCTCCAGTGGACAGCTTTGCCACTCGCTTGGCGGCATCGCTAGCGAGGCGAGTTGTGAAAAGTTTGGGCCAGGACCCCTCATCAGGCTTCTTGCCCGGAGTGAGATAGAGGCAGCAATCACGTCTGGGCCAAAGAACAGACATTGACATCTCAAGCGAACTCAAGCCCGTCTTGCGATCGCTGGGCTGAAGCTCTAAATCCCAGTGCAATTCACTAAGAATCGCCGTGCTCTCCTCTCTGCCAGGGCTTTGGTGGAGCACTTCGGTTCCCTGGACAGGGCATTTGCTGCCCTGGCGCATGCTGGCACAGGTGGGAAGCTCGACGGACTCAGATCCTAAGATCCCAAAAGCCCACTCGGTCAGGGCCCTAGCCCGAAATCAGCCCAAACATCCTACAGTAACGATCTCGACCCTCGACCGTTAACAAGCCTCCAGAAACCTCGGCACACGCAGTGGCGCATGCAAACGCGCACACTCCCTTCGGGCTGTTGTAGGCTTACGGTGTCCCTAGTTGCGGCTGTGGCTTCTTGCTTTGGACTCGACCGAAAGCCCTAGAGCTTAGGTCTAGATAGCATGAATCAGCTTTCGCTCAAGCACAGAGCCTAGAGCTGAGAGAAGATCTACTCAGCCTTACTGATGGCCACACTGCGGAGATGAAGAAACCATGGGACCTCAGAACTGATGTGTTTTGGCGTTTTCCGTATTCATGTTGCCAACAGATGATCGTGCCTCTTTAGCTATGAATTCTGTTCGGCCGGAGAGCCAGTGGCTGCTGCGGGCAATCCACGATTGGAGGATGGGTTTAGGTAATTGATTCCGAAACCCAGATTCAATGAGGTATCTTTGGAGAGCGCCATTGTAAGGGTCGCTTGATAGGATGCTCGCAATCTACGTCTCTACTTCATTAGATTCCAGGTGCCCAGCGGGTAGAAGCTCAATAACACGCTCGCAGCTCTGAAGGAAAAGATTTCAGTGTGTTGAACAGTGGAGCGGCCCCGGAAGGTCTTCAGAACAGGTGGTAACTTTGCAGGCTTGGAGCGGGTCCTGTGAGGCCTGCTAAGACGCGATGACTGGCTGCGCGAGCTTCAGCCACTGCAGGAGCTGTCTTGGGATTGTCTCTCGGGCCATCAGCAGACTTACTTTCCGACCAGTCTGGGCACTCCTTGTGCTCTTTGTAACTGTAGGTTGTGGAGGCCTCACATACCGAGGCCTGAGGCGAAAAAGTCCTAGTTGTGATTCGGCTCCTCTCCTCGGAGACATGCAAATCTCAGTTGCCAGCCTTTGGTGAGGATCAGATCGAGGACATCGGCCCCTCGCTGGGCAAGTTCTTCGCAATGATCCAGGCCGACTTCTAGAGTTCGGAGGTTCCCTCGCGCGAGGCATGGGACTTTCTCGAGGAGCTTGGGGGTCCGGGTGCATGACTCGCATTGCTTCTGTTCCCGTCTACTGCTCGGGCTGCCTTCCTCCTCACGAAACGCAAGGCTTCATGTGCGTGCCAACTCAAAGCTCGTTAAATGGCCAATTATGCCGACGGGCTTAGTGCTGTGTTTCTATGATTCTGCGGATAGGCCCAAAGGAAGCTTGAGATCCACGGTTCAAGAAAAACATCTTCAGAACAAACTGAGCCAAAAGCTTCAAAGATTCGTCAAGGAAGTTCCACAATCACACAGGAAGCTGGTCAAGTGGTATTTTGGTTGTCTCTGGTAGACCTACTACTTGTCAATCTGGCATGTTCAGTCGAGCATCGTGAATTAATTTTAGTAGAGATCATCGACATTGCATGATCCGTTTCGACATGAGCCCAATGTTAACCACTCACAGGGTTTACCGGTTTAACATCTGCAGCTGGTAAGAGCTTCGGCTTAAGATCTGCATCTTGCGCACCCAAGCCGAATGAAGGCAGTGGGTGTGGCACATCTTGATGTGGACGTGGTGACCTGTGATGACTGGCAGCCTGACAGCAGTGCAGGATATTTAGCATCGTAGCCCCTGAAGCCCTAAATCGTTCGAGGTTTGTAGCCACCTACTTAACAGACTTTTGCGTTTGGTTTCGACTTGGCAGTGCTGTGTTGCCTGAAGGACTTGCTTAGACTCGCGCTTCTTGCGAGGGCCGCCTTAGATCTAAACTAAGCCGAAACCCTAAACACGTCACTAAACCGTACTGGTAAGTGCCTTCCGCTACGCGGATTCCCGAGTCAGTACCTGGCAGACGGAAAAGGGCCCTCAAAAAAAAAAACCGTACTGCACATTAAAAAAACCCGTACTGCAAGGGTCGGAGTATCTATGTTGCAAAAAATGATCACCCTCTTGTCCAACATAACAAAACCATCCTATACCCCCCAAAAAGGCCTTGACCTATCTAGGCCCCCATACGTAAACTTAGCCCCTAAACCCTAAGCCCTAAACCCGAAAACCTAAAGCTCCAGGCGTAGCTTCTTCTACCAGTGCTTGGTTGGCAGCCATGCGGAGAGGCTCCTCGACCAGGCGGGCCCAGCGACTTATGAAAGAACCGCGGGGTTTAGAAAGAACCGCGGGGTTTAGAAAGAACCGCGGGGTGTAGGGTCTAGTTTAGGGTTTAGGGTTTCGGGTTTAGGGTTTCGGGTTTAGGGTTTCGGGTTTAGGGTTTAGGGTTTCGGGTTTAGGGGTACTGAAGCTTAGGGAATCCCCTGCCACCCTGTAGGAAGAAGCCTCTGGGAGAGGATCTATAGAGGGTGGTTCCTGAGTTTCTGCATGCTTCCGCAGGGCTATTACAAGTGGTGGCGTTACATGGGCCCCAGTCTTGGTACCCTTAGCGCGGATCTGCCTGTGATCTAGCAAGCCAATTGAGGGCAAGTGTCCCATCTCCCTGTTGACGGCATACCGAAGCTGTAGTCGTAGGATTCCACAGGGAAGTGACGCTGGCAAATTGTGCCATTTTGTGCAGGAAAACGTTATGGAACGTGATATGTTGGTCTTTTGGCGGGAGCGGCTCAGATCTCGAACGGATTTCTTGGTTGAAGTCCGACTCGTTGCGTGGAAATGGGGTTCGTGATAGCAGAAGAACAGAGTCTTGGACCTATGGTCTTGTAATCATACAAGTGCCAAATAGTCAGCTGCAGTTCAACCCTGAGCCCCAAGTGACGCCGGGCTCCCAAATTCCTTACCCTACATGGGCCTCTTGTTGCACATGTTCGGCCCCTAAACTAGAGCTCATGCCCCTGTTTTGACTCTGGCAGTTTCAAGTCGCAAGGGTTTGATACGTTCAATAGATTTCGGGTTGAACTACCTTACATGGGCCTGTTGTTGAACACGTTTCGGCCCCAAATTCCCAAGCCCTGCAATCTACTTGCGAGAGGCCCGGGTCCCAAATGGGAGTGAAAACATGAGACCGTCATGAAGAATCTCCAAACGCAGGGTTCCTTAAAGAGGATCCTTATAAAGGACCCCCAGATTTTCAAAACCCCTAAACCCTAAACCCCTAAACCCTTAAACCCCTAAACCTTAAACCCTAAACCCTAAACCCCTTCCGCGAAGTGGATTCCACCGAGCTGGGATTGGCGAGGGGGAAGAAGGTGCTCAAAAAAAAAACCTAAACCCCTAAACCCTTAAACCCCTAAACCCTAAACCCTAAACCCTAGCCAAAGAGATTCCCAGGATCTCGGCCCTCGACGGCCTTCCTGTCCACACCGATGTCCTCCAGCGCCTGGGGCCGGCGACTGTGGCGAGGAGGGTGGCCCGAAAGCGCACGAAGTTTGGGGTTTAGGGTTTAGGGTTAGGGTTTAGGGGTTTAGGGTTTAGGGCTTGGGGTCTATTGGGACAGAGAAGTTTTGCTATGCTACAAAAACGTCTCGAATGGTGTGGTGGTGTCTCCCAGCATATGTGCATGCGGTGGCGGCAGAATGCACTGTGGTTCTCACACTGTCGAATTTATTCTGTGTCCCTGCACAGTTACATGTAAGTGAGTGTCTATCTACATAATCAAACATTTTTTCTGTTATGTCTGTATACCGACATATAATATACGACATATACGTGCATACGCACATACATACATACATACATACATACATACATACATACATGCATGCATACGTACATACATACATGCACATACATGCATTAGCGTTTCTGTTTGGTTCTTCAGCAGTAAGTTGAGATCTGGTGACTTTCGAATTCAGGGCTTTCGCAGGGCTGCCTGTCGCATGTTCTGTCACTGCTGGAAGGACCCAAGCTGGACTGACGCGGGCACAGAGGCTTGCACCAAACCCCTAACACTTCAGCAAGTTGGCAAGACCTTGTGCAATCCCCGGTCTCTCGAGAATGATTTCCACCAAGTCGGCCGCCACTCTTCGCATTGAACCCTCTAGATTGCAGGCCGCATGGATGATCGTCCAGTAGATCTGCAGCATTGGGATGCTAACCCGATCACCCGAACCACGGCTTGTGCTTTGCGGCCCTGGCAGGAACCCCAGAGCAGAGGCCATCAGCACGTTTCGTCTTGAGCAGTGGGCCGGGCTTATCGGCACAGGGTGTGTCTCTCCTACTGTTGATGCCTGCCCAACGATGCTGAGACATTCTCTTCGAGCATAGCGACACGCTTTCTTTAGTACTAGGCGGGTTCGACCCAGTGCATGCGTTGTGTAGATTGTCGCGCATCAATGCGTCCGGCAAGCGGAGTTCTGCGCTCTTATTCGTGAAGCTTCGTGAGTTAGCGAGAGGTTCGGTGCAAGGCACCACGACCCTCGAAGCTTCGAAGCCTTCGGATTGCCATGAAAAGCCCAAGATCCTGAGCCAGCCGGGCCAGGCATCAACGAGCTCAAGGTCCTGATGTCCCCGGAGCAGGCCCTGTGCCCGAGCTTTTTAAACATAGGGAGCTTGCAAAGCACACGGGGATTGAGGTTGGAGGAAATCTGGAGGCGCCGCACAACAAACGAACAGCTCCCCAGGGATGCTAATTTCTGATGTCACGCATGCAGTTCTGCTTCCTGTGGGCCGCTACAGTAGCCATTATATAGTTTGACAAGAACTTTTTTGGCAAACGGTTTGAGAACGGTCCGGAAGCAAGCGTTCCACTTATCTTGTCCATCTTCGTGGGCCTTGGGCAAAAATGCCAAGTTAAGCTTTACGTCGGCTTGCGGCTTTAACTTTACCCACCCTTTCAAATCAGCTACCCTGAAAGAAGGAAGTGGGAGCCGCCTCGGTGCCTTTCGGGATACTTTGTTGATTTGTGGCCTTCTACCCTCTTGAGCGCAGTGTGCAAGACTGACCTCTGAAAGTACTGCAAGACCCCAAGGTCTCAAACCACCGAAGTCTATGCGTGCAAGCAAACAGGTGCAGCTGGAGCTGAAGAGGCCCGAAGCGTGTGAGCATGGACGCGGAGATCTCACTGTCGGGTCGGTTGCAAAAGTGCAGAACCCCTTGCATCAGGAGTCACCAGGCGTGACTGTCCGCTTTAGGGTGACCTCGTCGCGGTAGGGGTTTCATCTCCCCCACCCAATGCCCGCTAGTGATCTCACGCCTCTTGGTTGAATGAGGCTTGCGCATGGAAGCAACTGATGAATAGTTTCGAAATCTGCCTGGTTCCGACCAACGCCAATTATCATGGAGCCTGACATGTTGATTTAGGCAACATGTTCCCACCCAAGAGTACCCTCCGAATCTGAGGCGGCCGGTTAACGATCAGGGTTCAAGAGGTGTAGGCTTTGGGGTGCTTCAGGGATCCGAGAACCCGATGTTCTTATGCTTTCCATCTTTCCGTTGATCAGGATTCAGGCGTATTGCAAGCATGCCTTAGGCCCCGGACCTTCGCCCAAACCCGGCCTTTGTGGGGGCTGTTTCGGAAACATGCAGGGACACCCAAGGAGTGTCTTTGCCGCCGGAGGCGTTACTCGTCCACCGGCCGATGTTCGCTGCAGCTGAACCACTTGAGGTCCCTGGCCTCTTGAAGTGTGAGTGCCTATGTGCCTCGTTTTGTAGGCGCTTTTTCGTAATTTCGCAAGACAGGCGCAGAAAGCTAACCCTAGTTTCAGGTCCCTCTGTTTTCGGTGGGTTTTCAAGATGCGCCCAAGAATCTAAGAAGTCCAATACGACTTAGATCCGCAGTCCAGGAAAGGATGCCCTACGGTTCAGGGCTTCGGGAGAGGATCCTCGACTCCTAACCGCACAGCCCGACGTTCGGCTCGGATCTGCATGGCAGACTCCAATCCCAATCCCTGCAAAAGACTGACCACCAACCGAGTCGGATTTGTGCCTCTACTTCGAACGAACCATGCTGCAGAAGAGCGGAACCTGGTGCAACATTCCGTCAAAGCGAAGTGAAGGGCTCAGAACAGTGCATCCTACTGCCGAAGACGCTCACCCAACG